TAATCAGTGACTCTGAACAACAGTTAGTCGGGGTTGTTAGTGCGAATGGTGATACACTGTTCACCATCAAACCTACCATCGATGGTGAGGTAGTTAGATACTGTACTGGTGTATGCGCAGATAGCACGGGCATCTATGTTGCAATGCATAATGATGATGATGACACCGGTCATATCCACCACTATGACCCTCAAGGTGGCTTTCTCCACTGCATCGCAGAGGGGCTGCACTATCCCCAGGGAATCACATTCTTAGCAGATGGGCAACTGGCAGTTGCAGACTTTAACTCAGTGAAGATTTATGACTTTGTTTAATGTAACACAAACAAGTCGATTTCCTTCTGCTTTCTTCGGGAGGAAAAAGCAGTAGCATTAGTCGGAAATGTTGCGGTGTGTACAACATTACATTCAATGTCATCAAGTTTTTTTAATAGAAAATTATACCCACAAAGGTTTGCGTAGGCTTACTGCATGGCAGAAATGGAAAGCATACTACATCAAAATTTCACTGAGATGGGATTCAAAAGTATGGGAGCTACATAAAGTGCTCATCATTTAAACAAATTTCCTTTGTTAGTTTTGCATTGTTAACTGTATTTCCTCACGACTTATGAATTGTTTTCATAGATCCATTTAACAGTATTAAATGCATCCCAATATTGGTGAGTAGTATGCCAAGCGTGAGCGCTCACAGGAGATATGGGAAGTTGTTAGCTTGTCTCATCAAAAGAATCAGACTCATTTTAATGCAAACATCTTGCAGGGGATTATCAAATTGAGGAGAGTATAAAAACTGAAAATAATATGTGAAGTCAAATTGTTCTCATTGAGATTTACATAAAATTTTAATGTTCTCAAAAGCTTACTTTGTTTGAGTAGTGGGATAGCGAAGATCTCATCATTTAAATAGTGAAGTACATTTGTAAAAGTCGATGTGGAACTCACGTTTGGAGGAATATTCCCCTCATAACTACACTGTCCCTTTGTGTTGAACCGCCTTATTCTTATTTGCGGTTGAATGTATATTACGAATTAATACCTCGTTAAAGACAGGCCCAATGTCACCATTTGGAGGAGAGTTATATTGATTCATTTCCTTTGCAACTCCTTTCGAAATAAAATTCATTTCGTTTTCTTTTGAACTCGAATGAAGGTTTTGTTAGAGATTTAAATGAAGTTTTTCTCGGTGGCAGAGGCAAAAGCAAGATGAAATGTAGGTTATAAAACGTTTCATTTGCAAATTGCTTAATTTTCTTGCATCTTATTTACATAGTTTTAATTACTGAC